GTTTTTTAATTACACTTTATGCAATTGTTCATCGTATGTGCATGCCCCAAAGTTTATGTTTTGTTTTTCATGATATATGCGTGCGCCAAAGTTTCTGTTCCGTTGTTTATGTTCAGATTTCCTCAAATGCTCTGCATCGAACTCAGTGTGATCCAGTTGAACGGTTATGTGCATATACCACATAGCTAGGAGTACATGAATGTGTTGGTTTGATAATCAGAGCCCTCGAAATAATAAGGTGCTAACACTTAGCGCTGGTAATTTTGGCGCACCCCGTAGACAGACGGACAGACATTCAGCCCTATATATAAGCTTCAGCTCTATATGTTGCAGCAGCTTTTGATACAACAGAAGTACTTCAATATTCATGTTTAAACTCTAAATTCCAAACTTGAACCTGGAACATCTGGTTTCTGAATATGTTGAATAGGTCGAAGTATTCTATTGATGGAGTTCTTTGCTATTCATGCCATCTGCGACTGGAATCAAAACCAATTCATGCTTACCATTGGAAGGATTTCAATAGGAGAACCAGCTTCAAGCTCACAAATTGATTCTCGAAGCTTTGTAGCACTTTCTGCAGCTTGCAGGGACTACAACATCTTCTCGTAAGCGGCGCGGATACTTTGCTGTTCTCTAACAAGGCATTCTGACTTGTTTGAAAAGATAGTTTACGCCGAAAATGGGTTTCTGTATTTTTTGCACTTTAAATTTGAAGATTTCAAATATTTCCTAACCCTCTAGTTCGAGAAAAAGGAGCGGAGAAGTCAATAGAGCAGGATGAAAGTTTTCAGAAACATATGGACATACTGCACACCACACAAACTGCCAGTCGACATTGAATTGAAAATGCGAACGAACTTGTTATGCAACCCAACACTTCACTTTACACTTCATAGTGCAAGCCAAAATGCTGCCAAAATTAATATCCTCTACTTCCTTTATAGTCAGTCGTACTTAAACTGAATTGGTAGTGTGCAGTTTAGTCATGCTCTTTAATTTTGATATAAGAGAAGAAAAAGTGCCAATAAAACAAGATATAACAAGATTTTTTATAGCATATACAAGGTGTCCCACTAAATGTGCCTACTGTTTGATTGTTAATAATTTTCTTGTAATGAGGTCTTTCAAGAAGCTTTAGGTACCTTTCGTAGAGCTGGTTTCAACTTATATTTACAGTATAGAAAGAATCACCCATCTTTCTTCATTACTGTAAGATTATGGTAGAAACTTCAAAGAGGGTTTTGAGCCATGAAAAGCCATATTTTGCCTTAGAAAAACGAAACAGCCTGAAAACTTCTATACTAAGCTGATAAGAGTTGCTGATTTTAAATATGAAGTTTGCAGCTTATTACGATACTTCATTGAAAACTTATGCGAGGGGAGCAGTAGCGGCCGTTTTTTCAAAGTTCCTAAAAAATGCGGTCACACCGTTTAGAAAGCTCACAATCTCGCACATAGTTGAGTATAGAACTCAGCATCCGCGAAAACCTTATCACACAAGTTTCACATTCTTTGAAAATTTTGAAATGGCAGTTTTCTTTTCAAAATGACACCATGTACCTGAAGTTTCTACCGTAATCCTACAGTAATGAAAAGCGATGGGTGAATCGTTCTACACTTTAAATCTATGAAGTCAGCTCTACAAAATGTACCTGAAGCTTCTCGAAAGTATTCATTACAAGAGAGTTATTAACAATCGAACAATAGACACATTTTTTGGGACACCCTGTATACAGGCTGTCTCAAAAGCATGTATATTGTTTGATCGTTAATACCTCTCTTCCCAAGAAGTCTTTTGTCTTGCTTCAGGTACCGTTTTGTAGAGCTGGGTTCATCTTAGATTTGCATTATAGAACCACCCATCTCTCTTCATTACTGTAGGATTACGGTAGAAACTTCAAACATATAGTGTCAATGTGGAAAAAGCTGTCGTTTCAAAAATTTTCCAAAAAAATGTGAAAACTTGTGTAATAGGGTTTTTATGGACGCTTAGTTTAATACTCAACTATTTACGAGATTAGAAGGCTTCTAAACGGTGTAACCGCACTTTTTAGGAACATTGAAAAAATGGCCGCTACTGCTTACCTGGCATAGCTCTTCAATGAAGCATCATAATAAGTTGGGAACTTTACAGTTAGAATCAGCAACTCCAATTAGCCTAGTGTAAAGTTTTCAGGCTGTTTTGTTTCCTTTCTGAGACAAAACATGGCCTTTCATGGCTCAAAACCCTCTTTGAAGTTTCCACTGTTATCCTACAGTAATGAAGAGAGATGATTCTTTCTATACTGCAAATCTAAGTTAGAGCCAGCTCTACAAGACTTCTTGGGAAGAGGGATATCAACGATCAAACAGTGCATACATACTTTTGGGACACCCTGTATAACAAAATTTTTTTCTATGATTTATTTGGATCTCTGCATACTTTTTGGAGGTTTTTTTTTTCACTTTTTTGGCGAACTTTTGTGTATGACATTAATAAATATATATAGTGGAGCTCTAAGGCAGAATGTGCTATTTGAAGATCTAACACAAACTAGAACTCATTACAGAATTTACCACCTTTTTAAATCCACTTGTCAATGAAGACTCTTGGCTAAATATGAATTTCTCTGTATGCCCTCAGCAATGTCGCACCCACGATCTCCGCTTGGGAAGGGAAGGGAGGGTAGAGGCGCGACAAAAAGAATTTTTGAATGAAGGTGCGAGGCGAAGGTGCGAGGCGTAAGCCACACACCAAGATAGTTTTCAGGAAATTTTGCCTATCGAGGGGATTAATGAGGCTAGGATAATGGTTGATTTTATGGCACACTTTTGGAGTTTTAGGGCTTGCCTTGGAATTCCGCAACTGAAGTGATTTCCTTTCCTTAGTTTTATCTCTGCAGAGCTTAGTAGATAGCATCCAAGGTGCTTCAAAAAGTACACGAATTGCTCTTTTCAAAAATGTTTCAGCCATGCAGAAACATCGTGAGGGAACAAGATACGAATTTTTGAATATGATGCTACAGAACTTAATGACCAGAATGGTTTAACCCAGTAGATATAACACCTTTTACGAAGGGGTGGCACCTCTTCGAACTAAAGTATCTTAATCACATATATACATCAAATTTCGGGACATGCGCTTTTTTATCAGTACAGTTCTACTAAACAGCAGCTGAGCGAAAGGAGACATTTTAGCAATGAAAAAAACATGCATAGACAGCCCAATTTTTTCAATTTAGTTTGCTCCTGCAGCAAGCCCGAGTTTTTTTTGCAAGGAAATAACGAGAGGAGGTAATAATTAATTTGGGTCCCACTTGAGCCTGAAGTAATGGCCTTACGGATGTACACGAATGAAATCGTATAAATTCACACATGAGAAATCTCTGCTGCACTTGGTTTAGGAAATTCTTCAAGACGTAGAATTCCAGTATGGACCCAAGTTTGCTGATTGTTCTTTCAATCGAGATATTTTATAACCAGAAAAGTGCCGCTTCGCGGCACTTTGGTCTGGTAAGTGGGTGTGAGCAATGCTTCGAAGCGGTACTGTCTTTATTGGATGTTTCATTTTCATCGTATCTATATCAAAAGGAATTGTATCTGCTTATCTATAGATTAGATGAGAACGCTTTTTAACAAAATGTCTATGGTTCAAATGAATTAGGGTTTGTAATCAATCCGATGCAACATTGATAATTCTCATTCGGGAAGAGCTTAGTGCTCACATTCCTGGGCTTACAAATGAGTAGGATAATTACTGTAGAGATGTCCTAATAAGTTTGTACTCGCAAAAACTTAGTTATCCTACGTAAAAGAGAACGTATCTGATTTTTGAGAGAAGTCATGCGAAATCCGATCAACTCACGAATTTTTGGCGTTTTTGAAGCATGATAGAAGACGGAGCTGTGGTCTCAGCATTGAATAATTAGTCAGCGGACCAAGTCCGCTTTTGAAGAATTTTTTGAAACTTGCAGTCTTTTTTGCATATGACTTGGTCAAAATTTCGTTTTCGACTAAACTCGAGTTCGTCATAGCATAGAGTCTGTCTCAGTTTTAATTAGTCCGAGATCGGTAGGGAGTCCGTGTCATGAGGGTATTGCGTCACGTCTACTCTAGCTTGTCTCTCTCCTCATCTGAGCGCCCTCAAAGAGCGCATATGCAGTGCAGCGCTACCCCCGAGCACTGCCAGCCGTAAATTTAGCCAACGGTTAGGCCTGATCCACTTGGGACAAACTGTATGTGATTGCGAAATGTGGGCCGTGATTATTGCTAGAGCTGGTCCGAAAGCTAGAGCTGCTCTATTCATCACTCAGAGTTCTCATGAAGTCTGAACGATTTTCATAAATTTTCCAAGTTTGTGCAAAATCCACTGAAAAGCTGCAAAATGTTCTCGCAAAGCAGAGCTCGTATAATACCCATCTGTGGTTGCGGGTTGAGCAGTATGTTTTTCCCAGTTTCTCGCACTAAGTTCTGGAAAACATAGTGCTTTGCGCATATGGATGTTTTGTGAAAGCTCATATGCGGTGCCTCACGAATGACGACAAACTGAACTTAGGGTAAGCTAACTGTAAGCCAGTCGTCAATGGTTTGGTGCGCATACTTCTCAAACATCAATGGGAATCATCACGCGAGGTCATGTGCAACTTATTGGAAACCCCATCTTCGATCAAAAGGGCAACTTTCCAGACTATTTACCCTTAGGTGGCGCAGGTGATGAGTCATCAACCCTGTACGCCTGCAACGGCACGCAACGACAAACCTGTTGACGTCTCACGAGAGGGAGGAGAATGTTTCAGAGAGACACAGTGCGCTTTATTATAGAGAGAGATAATCCATCAATATTGCTTGTTTCGAGTATTTATAACAGATCGTTTGAAGCATCATGAAATAAAGTGATGATTATAAGCAAGACTGCGGAAGAGGCTGCGGCTCAATAACTTCATTAATCATACTACAAAATGCCAAGTACTCTTATTTTGTAAGTGAAGGAAAACGAAGCTGATGTCCGGCCGGCAACTTCATGTATTGCACGAGTTATTACCAAACACACAAATGATCGCTTCAGGATCCCAGGCGCATCCAACAAACTTTTCGGACTCGAAACCCTGTAAGTGAGCTTGTTTTAAGAAACCGCCAAATTGTCAAGTGAATCAATATCTCATGTGATATGCATGTAACTATTCAGCATGGAAAACTCGACTTACGCCAGTAATTGCATCCTTAGACATCTCCAATACTGTGACAGGGTCTTCCTTCTGTTGCGGCTCACTGCAATGTTTTGACCACTAAACGGTGATCGATTCCATAAAGGTGAAAAACATACGTTAGATTGAATACTAAGCAAGGAGTTGTTTGCCTTGTTTCATCCAAAGCGTTTAAGAGATTCCTCGCCTTTGCGCCGCACGTCCGATCGTATGACTGCAATGATGCAAAGTTTATAGGCTTAATTTCGTTCACATTGGTTTTAAAATCGTATCACTAGCTTCCTTGATTGATTTTGTCATGAACTGAGAAATAACCTTGGAAATTCCTGAAAAGAATGAGAAAATGCGTGTCCATGCAGAAAAAGGGACAATATTGATGTTTGCAAATGAAAGAGGGGCTATCTGAAACAGCTGTGCATGTTCTGATAAAATGCAAAAAAGTAAGACTTACTGCTAGAAGTATGCACACAAGGTTCATTTCGCTTAACGTGCTCTCGTCTGCCCATTTATATCCATTCAGATAGAGTTCATATCTACATCATTCTATGTTCTGTTCACACCCCCGCTTTGATGAATGCGGATGCACTTCGTGTGTGATGACGGAGTATGGCTTTTGATGATGTTGACCATTTTTGTGGTCGTACCTCATTCGGAAGTGCATAGCTCATGAAATCAATTGTCCATTGCTATAAAACAATGCTTGGCAAGCGCATCATATAGCTTTTTGACTTTTTGACAGTTGTTTCGACCTTTGAAAGCTGGAAAAGTCGATGACGGTGCGATAGTCAAAGCACTCAATGTCAGCACTGTCCCTGATTCATGATAAGTTTAATCTCCTCCGTCAGTATCAGTACTTATTTTCTCTCTTAAACACAGAAGAACTTTTTATGAGTTTTTGAGTTAGATATGAGAAAATCAACCTTGATTACTTGTTAGGAACCCAGAAATGCTATTTGCAAGCAGAATACAGTCACATCACTTCACATGATCATGTGTGCACTATACTTGGGTCCGAATCGAATAGAAATTCGATCATTCGAATAAAACATTCGAATATATTCGTATTCGAAATTCGATATTCGGAGTTCTTCCATTTTCGAATAATATTCGAAACTCGAATAATTGAACGGGGTTTCGAATAAAATTCGAAACTCGAATAAAAAAACAGGGTTTCGAATAAAATTCGAAAACTCGAATAATCAAAAAACGAGGTTTCGAATATTATTCGAAAACTCGAATAATCAAAAAACGAGGTTTCGAAAATTATTCGAAAACTCGAATAATCAAAAAACGGGGTTTCGAATAGATTTTATTCGAATGTTTTATTCGAATGTTTATTCGAATTCGTATTCGAATGTACTCCGTATTCAGATTATTCGACTTTGTTGCAGAGCCAACTGCTGAGTATCAAGCTCACTTCGTCTGCGTTTTTTTTTTGCAAAACCCGGTAATGCATCTTTTGCAACCGGTATACCTTTGAACTGTAGGGAGAGTCGCATTCTTCCGACTGCTTGCTACAGTAAAAAAATCATATGTGGATTTTAATTGATGTTTTTTCATCAAAGATTGTTCGCACTGCTATTGGCACCAAATCAGCAAAGAAGATATCAAATTCAAGTTCATGTTCTGAGTTCATACTGAATTGAAATGGCTGTTCTTCTTTTTTTGCATTGCTCATGCTTGCGGTACACAAAGCCCACACTAGCGAGCACTCTTGCTCGCATAAATTATTGCAAAACTGCCTATTCGTTACCTTAGAGTTTTTTGCGAATTGGTGTATATTATACTTGGGGCCGAATCGAATGATTATTCGATCATTCGAATAAATCATTCGAATGTGTGATTCGAAAAGTCGAATATTCGAAAATTTGAGATTTCGAATAAAAAAGTCGAATATTCGAAATTTCCAGGATTCGAATGTATCCGATAGTCGAATATTCGAGAATGTTCGTTTTCGAATATTATTCGAAGGTCGAATATTCGAAAATCTCAACTTTCGAATATTATTCGATAGTCGAATATTCGATGGTCATCAATCCGATCATTCGATGTCCATCGAATATCCGAACATTCGATGAGCACCGAATATTCGAAAATTCTGTAAAAAATTGTTTATTCGAAAGTTTGATAAGCACCGAATATTCAATTCGATATGCGTGGCGTATACGGCAGTGGCGTACCGAGGGGGGGGGCGCGCGCCCCCCCCCCCCCGAGAACGGGTCGCGAAATTTTTGAAAGTTACTTACATGCGTTATAAAAATGTGCAAATGACTTGTTTATTTTTGTAAACAATTGAAATAATTTTTAAAATTTTTTAAAAGTTCAAATTAGCCTTATAAAAAAAATTTTTTCGGGGGCGTGGCTGACGCCACGCCCCCTTTTTCCAGATTTTAGGGGTTGGGGGCCCGCAGAATTGTTGAGAAGCCCCCCTAAAATTTTTTCGGAGTGCGTGGCTAACGCCACGCGCCTTCATTTAAAAATTTTTTTTGCCGCGCCCCCCCCCCCCGAGCCGAAATCCTGGGTACGCCACTGGTATACGGGGGTTTTCTAAAAGTATCTACACACCGTTTGATCGCTAACTTTTTATTCTTTTTCTTGGGGAAATGGCTCTTGATATTTCTGAACCTCATTCAATCTTAAGGTAATTTTACAACAGTGAAAAGCGATAAATCGAGAATAAACTAATAAATTGCTCCATACTCTAAGTTGATGCAAGCTTAAAGATCTTCATACTGCTGGGACCTCTGTACATCAATCCGCAATCATATAATCTTCTTTAAAATACAAAAAATCTCTTCACAACCGTCTGTAGCTTTGAGGCTCCCAAGTCTCTTCACGTCACGACTAAACCGATTTTCCAAAATTGTAACCTAAGAAAGTGTCTATTTTTGACACTTGCATGAAACAACCTATTCTTACAAGGGAAGGATACTTGATCGCAGTGACGAGTGGGTAAGCGGTGTATACCGCGTATACCGCCCCCAACGGTGATCTCTAAATTGCATTCCATATCTGCTATGACGTCATTCTGGAGGAGTTATAAAGAATTTTCTTGTGCAGTGGATTGAACTGCGAAACTGGACGTCGTGGGTTCGATTCCTCTGGGATGCCATCCGTTTTGCATTTTTGTAAATTTTAGCAGGCAAGTTGCAAAACCTGTCGACATCAAAAAAGTTGATTTTCACAATATGAAGCAATATTTACATTTATTGGCACTGAACCACCGTTTGACCTAAAAACACTCGTTTTTAGCCTTTTTCATTGATTACCTTACTCAATTTTACATTGAAAAATTCCGGATTCGTGCTTAATATAGAGAGGAGCGGCTAGCTTGTCAAAAATGGCGTATTTATCGATTTTTTGATGCACAATAAGTTAATCAACTGCGATGGTTCTGTCCACAACTGATCATTTCTCACTTACTCGAGTGTTTTTAGGTTTTAGGTGGATCAGTGCCAATAAATGTAAGTAAATTTGTTTCATATTGTAAAAATCAACTTTTTTTATGTCGATAGGTATTGCAACTTGCCTGCTAAAACATGCAAAAAAGCAAAACTGGTGGAACCGCAAAGAAATCGAACCCACGACGTCCAGCTCCGCAGTCCAAGCCACTACTCACTGCACTAAAAATCCTTTATAACTCGTCCAGAATGACGTCATAGCAGATATGGAATGCGGTTCAACGATCACGGTATATACCGCTTACCCAATCGTCACTGCGATCAAGTATCCTTCCCTTGTTAGATGTTTTGGCCTTTCAGGGCAGTCTCAACGACATAAACGACAAATTCGATCAGTACTCGGAAATCAAATAACATTCAGAACCGAATAATATTCGAAATTCGAATAACGAATGATATTCGATATTGGAATATTATTCGATTCGAAATTTCCATTTTCGATTAATATTCGATAATCGAATATTCGAAATTTTCCATTTTCGATTAGCATTTGATAATCGAATATTCGAAATTTTCGATTTTCGAATAATATTCGAAAGTCGAATATTCGACATATTCAATTTTCGAATAATATTCGATAGTCGAATATTCGAAAATTTGGATTTTCGAATATTATTCGATATTCGAATATTCGAAAAAAGTTTCGAATTTCCCCAAGTATAGTGTATATTGAGTAAAGGACATCGCAGTTGTAGTGCAGGATTAGACGGTTTAAATCGCCGTACGCGATTTGCCAGTTACGAGATGTCTTCAGATGTAATGGCAGCTTACCACAAATGTTTAGCGTGTACACCATACTTAAAAGATAAATGCCCTGCCTTCTGTACTTTCAGAATAGGTTTTGGACAATTTGAGTATTGCCATCTACGTCGCCACTGAAATGCCTGCAGTATGCCCAGGGCTATAGGGGCATTCGTGCTCGCTTCGCGAAGGAAACCACATGCCTTCCTCCATGACTAGCCTATACCACACAAGACGAAAGTCTCCGATGAACAGGCAATGTATCGTAGCATTTGTGGCATATAAGTACAATGTGGCCGCCGTTACTTGCCTCCCCCCCGGAAATGGGTCACGAAATTCTTGAAAATTACTTGAATGTGTTATAAAAATGTGCAGAGGACCTGTTTTTACTTTGATGATTTCACCGATTTTTGAAAAATCTTGAGCTACGAGGTTGGGAGTTGGTACAAAGGGGTAAGTGAGGGTGCTGATTAAAACCGAAATCTATTTCATTGATTTCAGCAATTTTTGGAAAATTTTGAGCTAGGAGTTGGTGTAGGGATATAGGAGGCTGATTATGATTGGATCGGCTTTAGCCAGATATGTCGGCAAGTCTGAGATGTAATTGCTTTAGTTATTCGATAAATCATTCGAATATTTATTCGAAATTCGACTTCCAATGTTCGAATATATTCGATATTCATTCATTCGATATTTTTGATTTTCCGAATTTATTCGAAATTCATTCATTCAATATTTTTGATTTTCCGAATTTATTCGAAATTCATTCATTCGATATTTTTGATTTTCCGAATTTATTCGATATTTGTTTATTCGAGATTTTTTATTTTCGAATTCATTCGATATTCGTTTATTCGAAATTTTTCCTTTTCGAATTTATTCGATATTCATTCATTCGATGAAAAATTATCGAATTACCCAAGTATAGTGTGCACTGCACACACCGTCCATCTTTGGCGCCTCATTCTGGATTTGCAATTGCAGAAACGCAAGAAACTGTCCGATTGTTATCGCTTACATCACTTTGAGGGATTACTACTTAGAAGTAGAGAAAACATTGAGGAGACCTCGAAAACACACAAGTTGAAGGTTCCCCCTCCAAAAATTGAGGTTGGAAACCCCAAAGATGGACAGTGTGTGCAATGACATACATGATTATCAAAAATAATTCGACTGTACAGTAGACAGCATTGAATGCAACCCCACAATTTCGGCTTGACCGTGAAAGTAACAATAGTGAAAATCTACTAATAAACAGTAGCGGGTAATGTCTAAA